AAGTAATATATTGGAAAAAATTTTTTTACTTTTAGGTTTAAAAGTTTAATTTTAAAATTAACAGAATTTATTATTTTTAAACTTTCTGATTTATCCTGGAAATAAAAGAGCCAAAGTGACCAGTGGTCAAGAAAAGTTGTGAATCATTGGTTGAAAGCATAAATATGAGATTTGATGCATTGAAAGTTCATCATATTTGTCAAATAGCTAAAATAAAACGAAGGAAGAAAAGGAAAAAATTGCGGTCGAATGTGGCACGGCTTCGATGTACCGTTCAATATTTGTTACCCATAATTTATTGAACCGCATAATTGAAATCACTGGACTAAATTAACACACTGTACATACGTAGTACATCGTTGCATGCCAAAGCAGACCAGCACATATCATATACAATCATGTAATCTATAATATCATAGCTATCACTTATTGCATACAATATTAATTGGATTTCTTTTCTTATCTTAATACTTTTTTTTTTTTTTGTATGTCTCTCTACTCTCATATTTATATTATTACTTTTTGATAACAAATTTTTTGTATCATTTGCAAAATATAAGCTATCAAAGTTTTCAATTCATCAAATTTTAATAAAATTATTTGATTAATATTTACATAGAAGAAATAGTAGGATATAGGATTTCAATGAAAATTTAAAAATTATGTTTGTTTTAATATTGATCGAAAATTGGGCAATATTTTAGTAAAAAAATATTTTATCTTATCTGATGTAAGTATAGCTATTGAAATGTAAATTGCGATTTAATTTTAATTAATTTTTTTAAGAAAAAAAAGTATTCCAACCATCTAATATCATTCATCTGATATTATCAATGATATTAATCTATCAAATATTAGTAATTCATAATTTACTAGGATAATTGTTTTAGAATTTAAAATTTCTCATTTTTATAAAATGCAATTTGAACATTCCATCATTGATTTGATAAATATTGAAATTGCATTTCAAAAACTTGTCACCACCGTTTACTGATTTATTTCTAAACAATTATTCATATTATTCGATGCCAAAAATGTCAAAAAAAGCACTAGTGAAAGCATTGGTGACGAAAAAAGAAATTATTAGCAATAATTAATTAAGGCTTTTATTTTGTCAGCTTGTTATAGTTGCAAGTTTAATTTTATAATATCTACAAAATTAATTTTCAAAAATGAAAAGACGAAAGAAAAAGTAATTAACAGGATAAGATGACGAAAAAAAAACTGGAAAGGTTTATTTTTGAAACATTTAAATCGAACTTTTCGTATTGACAATTACAAATTTAAACAATTCAAATTAAATTTTCAGCATTAAAAATTGCTAATTAAAATATTTGAATTAAACTTTCAGGCACTGATATTTGTAAATTTACAAAATGGATGACAGTGATTTTCTTGCAATTTTTTATTTTCAAAACGGAAAAAAAGAAAAAGGAAAAGAGCGAATACTAATGAAAATAAAAAGCACAAAGAATTTAGATGAAATACAAAAAATTTAAAGGATTGAAAAAATTTCTGACATTCGTCATATTTGTCACAATTTTGCATATATTAAAAAAAAAAAAGAAAAATCTTATTAAATAGAATTTAGAAATATTGCAAATGCATGCATCCCTTGAGACATTGCTTTTTTTTATTTCATGCAACTTGTACGCATCCTTGGACATATTACGTTCTTTATTTCATGCAACTGCATGATGCGACTGCATGCATCCTTGGACACATTATTTTCTTTATTTCATGTAACTGCATGATGCCACTGCATGCATACTTGGTCACATTATTTTCTTTATTTCATGCAATTGCATGATGCGACTGCATGCATCCTTGGACATATTACCTTCTTTATTTCATGCAACTGCATATACTCTTAGACACATCATTTTATTTTCATACTAAATACTTTTTTACTAAATACTTTTTTCTCAATTTCAATAAATTTAAAACTTATTACTCATAAAAATTTTGTAATTGAAGCAATAAATGTAAAAATTTGAATAAGGAATTTGGAATAATTAACTACTAAATTATTCCTATAATATATGATATGGTAAAAATCACGGTAGTAAAATCATATCATCCGGTTTTCTGGTTAATTCTCGTAGACGATAGCTAATAAAGCATGATTGACCTTGATCACCGATTAATGATGCTTTTTGAATAAGACTTGGATTTGTTTGCCATTCAAATGGTGCATTTTGATTAAGCTTAAGAATATAAGTTTTGAAAAAAATATAACGATAAACAAAAAAAATAACGACTATTTATTTATTTTAAAAAGTTATTTAAAAATAAAAAACGAACAAACATTCAACTTTATGTTATCAATTGCAATTAATACATTATTGATTAGATGAAACGAATAAATACGATCAAAAACTATCAAATTATTAATAAACTAATCCAAATGATGCAATATTAAATAATATGAAAAAAAAACGAATTTTTATCTTAATAATTTAATTTCAAAATAATGAATTCATTAAATTCAATGAATAAGTAATGAATACGGGTTATTGAAAGTGATTAAATGATAAGTTATGATAATTTAGGATTAAATACTTTTTTCTCAATTTCAATAAATTTAAAACTTATTACTCACAAATTAAATAATTAATGAAAAAATTTGAATAGAAATTAAATAATTAAGATAAAAAATTTCCGCAATTTGTTGTTCTTGCAATTACATCCAGAATTGTTAAACTTTTTCTTTCGAATGCTTTTCTTTTTGTGAAAATATTCGAATAATTGTAAATGTAAAAGATTCAAACAAATTTCCAATTTTACAGTAACAAAATGTTTTACCTTTAACCTGATAAAAACATTATTGATTAATTTACGAAATGTTCGATAATCTGGTCGTTCAAAATATCTGCAAATTTCAAAAACTTTAAATACTGCAATTTATAAATTGGTAAATTGAAATTGCATGATTTTTCTAAAATCAAAACAGAAAAAAAAATCATTTTTTTTCCTTTTCAATTAATTATTACTTAATTGAATGAATTAATTGATGCATTTTATCAACGTTAACAGTATGCTTATTTATTGTATGACATTCATTCCTAAATAACCTGTGGATTAACTTAACATAATTATCACCCATACTATTAATTAATGTTGTCCTATGCCATAGGTTAATTAATTATTGGCAAGAAATTTTGTTGCAGTCATTTTCGTTCCTTTTTTCCCTTCATTCTTTTTTTCTTTTCTTTTTTTTTTGATTATTTAAAAAAAAAATGATTTCATATTGTAATACATACTTTATATTATCAATCATTTCCAATATTTTGTCAAATTCTTCCGGTACTCCTTTAAGTAACTCATATCGTCCACTCATCCTTGCATAACGCTTCCATTCACCAATTAACAAATAATCTTCTCGAACATCTGCATTTGCCCATGGGAGTGGACCTAAATAATTGTTTAATAAATTAAAATTCTCAAACTTATATAATCATTGATCTCAATCATTTAAATCTCATCGTTGTATTTTTAATACATTAATATAGAATGAAAGATAAGCTTTATATCGTTACTTGAAAGTGATAAAAGTGATAAGTGAATTAATTAACATGATAATTATCATTAATACTAATCCTTTTCAAACAATATTTATTGTTTCTCCAAATGTTACTTATAAAATTAAATTATAAAATTTTAAACAATATATATGACTGTATGAAATAAAGTTTAGTAAAAAAGAAAAATGATAAAATGTTAGAAAGCTACATTTGCATACGTAATGTCACTTAAATAAATTCATTTACGTACTTACGTGAACTTACTTTCATAGAGCTGAAAGTAATAGGAAAAGTAACCTAGCTCTATGAATAGTATGCATGTACTTTTAACTTATTCTGTTAAGAGAAAAAAAAAAAAAAAAGAATGAATGATATGCAAAATCTGTTATATCGATTTGAGTAATGACACGTGGAATCTACTGTGTTTACGTGAGTGAAGGGAAAACAAAAATTAATGAAATGTGAAATCTGCTATGATTTACGTGAGCGAAAAAAACAAACGAAAGTGAATAGTACGTGAGATCTGTTAGATTTACGTGAATAAAAAGAAAACAAAAATTGGTCATTTACCTTTAATAAATTCACAAACCATATAAAACCATGATTCAATATCATCCCTTCGGCATTGATCTTTAAATGCATGCGCTGCTAACGATGAATAATAAATGGATCCTATGAGAGCAGCTGAACTTCGTGGTTGATAAAATTTACCATCTTTATCTCTTAAATTTAAAAAAAAGAACAAAAAAAGTTTGATAAATTACTAATTAATCTAATTGCCAGTTTTATAATTAATTTCAAATTGTTACAAAATTTTGCAAAATTTTTCGAAATTTTTTTTTTGTCTATTCTATTTAAATAATATTAAATTAATGTAATAGCTTTAACTAAAATGAAACATATACTTTCTTTGTTTAATTGATAATACTTATCTTAACATTGTTCTAACTTAACTTAAAATTGTAACTTAAAATAAATTAATGTACTAATTTAAGGTGAATATCTTTAAAGGAAGTAATTTTCATGAATGCAAGATGCATGACATGACAAAAATGCGCAAAGATGACATGACATGACAGAAATGCGCAAAGATGACATGACATGATATGACAGAAATACGCAAAGAAGTATGAAATATCTGCTGCATTTAATATAATATTCATACTTTAGGAATAAATTAGCATGATATGTGATAATTATTCGCTTATCATCATTTACCTGAATCGTCTAGCGAAACCAAAATCAAGAATGTAAACTGTTTGATTATCATCTTTTAAACCAATTGCGAAATTATTTGCTTTAATATCACGTGAAAGCCAACCCGTATCATGTAATGTTTCAATTCGATCTAATGTTTGTATGCCAAGATGAAGTGCTGTTGTTAAAGTGAATCTAAATTTCATTTAAATTTTATACTTAAAAAAATTTTTTTACTTAAATTTAATTTTTTCAATTTTTTATTTAAATTATTTTTTAATAATTTAATTTTTCTTTTTCATTTCTAAAAAAAAATAAAAGAAGCTATTACGTTTTAAAAGAAACTATTACTAAAAAATAAAAGAAAAAAACTATTACTTTTTGCCCGGTAAACAACGACGTAATTTATCTAAATCAGGACCAAGAAGTTGCATGATAACATATTTAATTTGATCAGTACGTCCCTGATCAATTAATTGTGGCATACCAATTGTTTTGGTATTTTGAAATTCACGTAATACAAAAACATCCAATTTTAGGACTGATCTAAAAAGCAATAAGAATTTTTCTCGTATTAGTAATTAGTGAAATGAGCAAAGTTATTAATTAATTTATTTGTTTTGTATTACAAAAATTTGATTCGTTATCGCTTATTTAATTGATTGCTATAAGTAATTACTGCTTAGAACTAATAATGCGTTTATACTATACATCTTAATCTTTGATTGTTATGTACTGATTTTATCTTGTCACATAACAAATGACAAACAAATAACAAATAACAAATTAAACAAATAACAAATTAAACAAAACAAATTTTTATTTTCATAACAAATGTTTTTATTTGTGCATTAATGTCATCTATTTGTTATAATATTATAAGAATACTGAATTCAAAAAAAAAATTTTTACCGGTTATTGATTCTACTTATAACCGATGTTTGGTCATTTCTGAAATTTATACGAATGCATGAAATTGATTTAGCTTTAAAATATTGGTTGATTAGTTTCATGTTTAACATCAAATACTTCGTCACTTGTAGTTTTAAGGGATTAAATTAGAGTATTTACAAATCCCTCATTCACCTTTTCCTTCTATCTTTTTAATTCATCAAGTTTTGTACATAACATATATTTCCGTTTCATCAAAGTGATGCAAACCGTAATTTTGCCTCATCATAGTGATATAAGAATATAAAATGAATGGGAATTTTTCTCTTGATCGAAGTAAGCTGATTCAGAATTGAATGCGATTCAAGACGTTCGTGATTCATGATTCAAAATGATTTTAATTCAAAATGAATTCTGATTCAAACTCATGATTCAGAATGAGCTGATTATTTTTAGATTTTTTTAATCGAACCAAATTGTTATTAATCCATAGATACCTTTGTGGATCTTTGGTTTTTTCAATTTTCATTGCAAATTGTTCATTACTGTTGACATCTTTAATAATCATTACTTCACTAAATGGTCCAAGCCATATTTGCTTTAGTATTTTGTATTTTCTATCACGATGAGTAAACGTTTGACCCGGTCGTAAGATTGATGTTGTTTCTTCGTTCATATTCCTATCAATTTCAACATTACTTTAGTAAAAATAAAAATTTCGCATTTTAATTTAGCTTTTTTATTTTGCGCTTTTGAGCTAACATCAATTTTACCAGTGCAAATTGTTTGCTTAGTTATCAGTAATTACTTGCTATTAAGTAATTACCGATCAATAATTACTTGCTATTAAGCGATGCAATTAATAATTTGGAGAAATTTTAAAAATTATGGATTATTAAGATTATGAATTAGATTGTGGGTTTAAAATTACGAAGGCTGTGAATCAAATTATGAATTATTTTATTTGAAATTATAGAAAATTATAAATTATTTGTGCATTCTCGGTGCAATTTTTTCATTTGAAATAACATTTCTGATTTTATTTCTCATCATTTCAGATGCGAATGTTAGATAAATTTTCTTAAATCGTGTAATCTTTGCGGTAATTTTTTTAGAATTTTAAGCGATGGGTTACATAACCAAATAAACATTACAGCAAAAATTATTTCAGCGCAAAATATTGACACAATTGAAACAACCGTACCGCATGCAACCAATACTTTTATCAGGAAGAATATCATATGGAAGAATTTGAAACTTTTAAAAACTTTTTAAAATTAATGAAAAAACAAGTAAATGAATTAAATATCAGGATTTAGGATGATATGGAAAAGAACATAATAACGAAAAAAAATGAAATTATGGTCACAAAAGAAAAAGAAAATAACAATCAGTATTCCATTTCCAATTCATTCATTCATCATTTTCACATCGATTTATCATTTCATCAATTTTTTTTCCATAAATTTTTTTTTCATAAATTTCATTAATCTTTTTCTTTTTTCTCTCACAAATTTTTTTTTCTTTTGAAGTATATGAGAAAATGAAATAAAAAATAAGTAAATATTAATTTATTATTAATCAGTAGTCATTTATAACGTTGTTATCACTTCTAATCTGTACAATTCTTTTCCTCATAATTAAATTATTTAGCACAATTTTTAATATATGCACAATTTTGACCACATATATCAAGCGTTAGGATGATATGGAAATGAATATGATATATATATATATATATATATATACAGTATTTGATTTCCCTATTCATTTACTTATCATTTCCAAATTTTTTGCCAATTTTTTGTGAGAGTGATTCTCAAAAGAGAAATTAAATAATAAAAAATGTTCGAATTAAATTCATTCCAAAAATTTAATAGTAGAAGTTCGCAAAATGATTGCAAAAATTTTCATATATAAATACGAGTAAATAATATAAAAGAAATTTGAAATAAGTTTTTTCTTCTTTCCTTTAAAGTTAATTTATTATAATGACAAATGGTGAAGTAAAACAAAAATTCAGAAAAAAAAATTTCAATTTAAGAAAGTAAAAGTTTTTCTGAAATATGCCAGTAGTATAAGCTGAAATGATAGAATCAAATGATTGAAATTTGTTGAAATTTGTTAAAATTTGCTCCGATCATCATCCTTTTCTTTCTCCATCCATTCATTCATTCATTCATTCATTCAATTAACCCATTCTTTAGATTTTAGATAAATGAAAAATGAAAAGAGTGAAAGTTTCAAATGAACTAATTCTATTTTAACTTTGATAGCTAGCAACAAATGATGTCTTGGAGTTATTTTTTTTATTTCTTATCATTCAATATGTTATCACATTTGATGATTCTGGTAATGATGCTGAAATGGTAAGTTACTTTCCACCGTACCTCTAACCTTTTTTTTTTATTGATTGTATTG